TACTCTTCTTTGCTCATATGGAAAATGTATTTGACACTGCAGATGCAGTGCTGCCACTGTATTTTCAGGTGTCTGGTCTAACCCAGGTGTGAAAGGCTGTGGAAACTCATCAGGCTGTGGAATCAGGTGTGTAAGGTGATTATCCTCCTAAGCTGAAGCACTCTATTCTTCAGAGTRCTTCTAAGMTGGAGTATCTCTGTTCCCCTACACCTTCTCTGTAGGTCCTCAGATATGAATTTGACAGCTAAGTGCTAATCTGGGCACTCCAGTTAGTTCTTTGGCTGTTGATTAGGACTCTGTGGTGATTAATTTATCTATTCTTGTGGTCTAATAAGATGATTTGTATGTTGTTTTTTCGTTTTCTTTTTTTTAATGCCATTAAAATTGAGAGCAGAGAGTGGTAATTGGGTTGACTTACCGTGATCTTCAATCAGGTTAAGAAATAKCTACTCACCTGCATTATCAAGTGTCATTAGCTGATCAYAGTCTTTGAGCTATTMTGTCTAAAGGTGATTGTTTTTGGTATGGTGTCTAGAGYTGAGCCTTGAGGCTTTATCTTTTCCTTGTGTGAATACCAAGTTTTTATGCCACTGAGTGGAAATAAGTGCATGCATATGCTGTATTTTTAACTTACTAATTGCGTTTTCAATTCTGTAATTGTATTTGTTCTTTGTATACATAAATACATAAATGGCTTCAAAATAAATTGTATGACTAATTAATTTTATGCATTTGAATTGAATAGGGTAAGCCAGACTTTAAATATCTCAGTAGAATAGAAAAACTGTTGGAAATTGTGGAATATTTCCATTAGACTGACTGTAGCTTCAATATTYATTTCAAAAGAAGTTTAGCCCAAAATTAAATTTGAAAATTTAGAACTCCATCTTAAGAAATGGAAACCAATTGTTATAGTTGTYGGTTTTACAATTAAGTCCTAACAATCTGAGCACTGCAGTTCTTTCTCTGGCTGTTGATTAGGATTCCATGGTGATTAGTGAGTGTGAGAATGCAATCACATCCATTGGGTTTAATCAGATGGAGAAAGTAGGATTTTTATATGTAGTCTTTGTAGGGGTTTGCCCCATGCTGTAAGAAGCTGAAGGGTAAAAAGTAGAGAAGCCTACCTTTCCAACCCTCCCCAAACTTCCATKATTTTTAAATTATAGTACAGATTTTTTGGTACTGTGATGCAGGAGAATAATGTTGCCGATGCCTGTGAARGGGAGAGAAGATGCATGGTGTGGTACTCACATAGGCATCCCTCTCTGATGTTCAGTATTTCATTCTTACACTGGTGAGCAGGATTTGTTTTTCCGTACCATGCAACCATGTATCTGGTTTTCCTTTTTGCAAATCTAGTATTTTAAGTGTTTAGCTTGGACATACACATTATTTTGCTATGCTTTATTTCCCTTTGTTATATGTTCTGTTTATATGCTGTCTTTTTAACATTTAAAGCATTTATCTTAAGAAAGTTATTTATAAATATGAATGTTTTTCCTTCTGCCTTTTTGTGAAGCAGATAAGTGAATGTTTATGTGTGCAGCAACAAAGAGCCGTGATGGGTACCCTTTTTGACAATGAAACCCCAAAAGGAAAAGCTTTTGGATCTCTGCTCAGCACATAACTTCTCTGTGACCTTTCTGACTGAGCAAAGGTGACCATGTGCTGCACCTATGGATCCRTACTTGTCATATTCACATAAGGAAAGGTTGTTCCTACCCTGCAAAGCCTATAATCTAACTGTAGGAATCATGTCTTAAAGGGATGTTTTCTGAGAGCATGTTGCAATGCAGATTATGATGTTTGAGTTTMATGTAAGGAGCTGTTCATTTTATGTGTGTTTATACAGTGTCTTAATAGGTGTGGGTGAGCTTTCCAGTGTCTCAATGAAAATGATTAGCAATGAGCATGGATAGACACCTAACCTGTAAAAGGGTTAGGAAATTCCTGTGGGTCTTTTATTTGTATTTAGAATATGATCTCCAAATGGCCRCAGTACCTTCCTGAGCTGACCATCAGTCTGGAGAGGCCAAACCCATCAATTCATTAACAACATCCAAGGAGTAAAATGCCAAATGTTTGCAAAAGGACCGGGTATTTCTCAGTTCCTGTTATCTGTCCCCTGCTTTTATGCTTACACTGTGTATTACAGAAAACTGATATGGTACATCAGAATTCTGTTGTTTCATTTTGTTTATATTTGGTTTAGTTAACTTTGTCTCCTAAGGAAGCAAAAAGTTACTAGGACTATAATAACTGTATTTCATAGATCTCTGAACAGGAGTCTACTATTGCCTTTCTGGCTGAAAGGTCCTATATCTAACAGGTTTTTTTTGAAATTAACTATATCATGTTATATCATATTAGAACCAGTAATAGAACATCATTGCAGACAYACAAGCAAAGTTTATAGGGTAAGAAATACCTCTGTTAGGCTGACCTTAAAAGGGGCCCAAAAACATAAATAAATTTTTGAACACACAAGTTTCAAAACACACTTCTTAACTAGAGTCATTAATGATRGTGCTTTTCCCTGAATAGTGATAATACTAATTACTTCAAAGAAAAAGAGAAGGAAGAAAAAAAAAGTATCTTCTTTGTAGCTTTATTGGTAGTATTTACATCTTCAGTTCCACGGTTTTTACCTCCAAAACTCATTCAGTGAAATGTTAAATCRTGGAGTCATAAAAGGCTGATGGTGCTTTTAAGGAGTAACAAGTTTGTAAGTGGAATACAAGTGAACTAAAATAGTGCAGCACTGAGCACCCATTTCTGTATCATCAAGCTGCAATGACCTGCACATTTTAGCCCAGTACAAATCTGAGYGTGCAGGTCACCTGCTTTAGCAGCTGAGCCTCCAGCACCACTGTAAATACCAGGGAACAAATTTACACCAGCTACAGTGTTCAGGTGTGAGGCTTTTTCTTTCAGCCTACCATAACCATTCTGCATTCACTCTTCACTATACACAGCACAACAGCCTGAGGGAGCAGGATGGTTTRTAAATCCGTCTTGAGGGCCAAAGAGATCAGGCTGAATTAATGTGAAATTGCCCATCTCTTGTTTCCAGGAAAAAGAACAAACCAAAATGAATAACAGCATAACTAAATATGCAGGTATCTAAAGTTAATCTGAGTAATCTCATAGTTCTCAAAGCTRTAGTAATAATCTGATGAGGTTTTCMYYTACTAACATAAAGAAAATAGTACTTAAGCTAATCTACTACTTTGGGAAAATAAACTATTAGGTGGAAAGATGCTGGCAAAGAAAAGCTAAGTGCACTCGCTTTGCTGTGAAAATGTCAGTAATCTTCCTTCTAGCCTTGGCTGCCAGACTGATGCTGTAGAAAAGCTTAAACATCCTCCCTCCCTTGTGCATATTATTACATGCCTCTGGAACTTTTTTCTTCTGCTCTGTTATTCTCTTTCTTTGTGAGCTCACASGAAAAGAAAGGGAATAGATTATAATAATATTGTAGCACCAATGCTATTGTGTTTGCAATAGCCTTAGTCCAAGATAATGATTTGATTAGCATGGCTTTTTCACTTACTGGAATTAAAGATACATGGATTTTCTTGGGATTCTGTGCTTTCAGGATGATTTTTTTTCACCTTCTTTCTTCAGCTGTATGTCTTTRCAGAGAAGTTGGAGGTTTAAAGTATAGGTATAGAGCCTTCACTAATAGCCAAGGGCAAAAAATTAGTGCAATGAGTCATCAGAGTAATTCCTGAAGATATTTGTGATCTATGTGTCCTATGCAATGCATGTGTTCAGAAGGSCCATTGTTCCTTAAATCACTGATGATAGTTCTTAATTTTTTCACTGCAATGTAGTTGGTATAAATGAGGTTTKACATTTCCAATTTTGTTATTTGAATGGCCTCAAGGAGGTTTTGAAAAATTTGAACATTCAGAATATGAAACGCTTAACAAGAATATTAAAGATTAACCAATAGTTCATAGTGCAGTGAAGAAGCAGAGTGATTTAGTGGATCCTAGCAAACCTAAAAAATTTATTAGTGTTGAATTACATAATAAAAAGTTTCATTGCTTTAATTAAATTGTTGATAGAGCTATATTTTCTAAAATATWAAAACTTTACCTCTCTTGTTTAGCTTCTTTTGCTTCTTGTTACATGTAACACACAGAAGTTGTGTATCTTGGAAGTAATCATAACAGTTAAACAGAGCTATTCCCTTTTCCAGGGTGGTAAAATCTGGATCCCACTGATACTSATAGTGAGAATTTTGCTGTCAACCTCAGGCCATTAATCAAAAATAGCACCCTTAGTACAGCTGGATTTGAGTTTTCTAGCAGAAACAATTATTGTGACTACCCAGGGACATCTGTATCCCACTTAGAATCTTACAGGTTGTTTAAAGGGGAATGAAAAAGATCCTCTTCYGACTTAATTCACACATTKCAAAAATGAAATAAAAYCTTTTTTATATAGAGCTTTGTTTATTTCCCCCATGTCCATTTTGCGGCAAAACTTGGTGTGGTTCATGTATTTGATATTTGTGTAATAAAACCTGTTCTTAGTAGAATGAAAAGATAAAATTATTTTTAGGTTATAAAATAGAAGTACTTWCACTTGTTGGTAGAATTTKTTTGTGTTCTGTTAAACTTTTAGTRCTCCTAATTTTGTATTTCAGAACATACATATTTTAATGTGGAAATAATTGTTTTTGCAASAAAGCAGTGCCTAGAGAGAATGAGTGATATCCACCCTCATTTCATTCTRTGTGCTTCTAATCTGTATTAATTTTTTAGGTGATGGACTCTTTTGTTTTGAATGTGTGAATGATTTTCAGCTTTTCTCTTTGCTTTGCAGCTTTTTGATCCCGAATTTCAGTTTTGCAGATGATATTCATGCTCATGGTTTATCACAGCAGTGTGTCTTCTCTGTATTACAGACAACAGTAAATTCAGCTTTGGCTTGAGGAAAGCTATTCATTTTCTTTTTTTCTTCTTTTTTTGTTGTTGTCTCTGTAGAAATACTGCAGCACAATCCGGCTTGATTCTGGAATAGACTACAGGAAACGAGTGCTTCCAGCTGCTGGAAAACTTTACTACCTGTAAGTTTATCTGTGATATTGTATTTGCTCTCTTTTTCCTTCTTATTAGCCAATAATTTCCTAGTCAATGGGAAATGAAAAATGTATAGTAGAATTAGCAGGGTATGACTTTTCCTTTCTTTGCCTTCTGGTCCATTTTGTTCAGCAAACCGCCTTCCATTATGCCTTGATATTAACTTCATTAAAGTACATTTTCAGTATCCACACTAGCATCATTTATAATGTGTGACTGAATAAAAACTAATTAGATTTTTTTGGGAGGTTTGGTGTTTGGAGAACTGAAGTGACAGATGGTTTGAAAGTAATGAATATCCTCTTGTAAGAGATTGCACAATTCTCTTATAATAGAAGAACATCCTTATTGTATTTAAGTAATTAAGTATTTATAGAAATCCAATGACAAGGATTYATTTAATTTTGGGTGTTTCCAATGCTGTGGATTAAAAAAACCAACACCCTTCTGTTTTGACAGATTGTTTTTGTTTATCTTGACAAAATTTCTTTAGCACTTTATATTTGCAAAGAAATATATTTTAAAATATATTCACAATTGTGTTTATGGTTGCAGCATAAATCTGCCTAATAGGAACATCCTCTTTAATACTTTGGAACCTTTGCAAGGCAAATACTTTTCTGTCTTTTATTTTCTCTTGTAATATTATTTAATGAGTGTCAACCTGAACAAAACAGACTACAGCAGCTTAATATTATATTTATAATTGTTGCTCCTTTAAAATACTGATTTAAAAATCATGATTCCATTAAGTAAGGTGTGGTATTTTCATTGCTGTGACAGGTGTTTGAAATCAARTATGTCCATGCTACTTCTTAATGAAGTTAGATGTTGTAGTTGTTTGTTGAGAAGGAGGAATACTGCTTGGTAGAATTACAACTGGTAACTCTTTCTGCTTTTGAAAGGMAATGGCAGAATTTCTTATATGGAAAACAGGTCCAATGCAGGTTCTGTATCCTTAAACTGTGACTGTATGAACTTGAGAAAAGTAGCTCTTGTTCTGTACTCTTGCCTGACTCCACTTTCTCTGCCCTTTGTGGTGTCTGTTCAGAAGTGCTTTTTGAAGCCAGCACTGATGAGTGTTGCTCACCATGGCCCTTGGTCTGATTGCTGCTGTCCCTACTTGTGGTGCTGTTCCTGTGCCTGCTGCACTTTGTGACTTTCTGTTGGACACTTGTAGAGAGCATCTGCCATATTCTTTTCTCACTGTCCATACTCTGAAGAAAAGAAAAGTATGTTTTTGGTTGCTAGTAGGTAATAGGCTAAACATGGTGCCTGTGTCTTCAGATCTGAGAAGCAATACAAAGCTCCAGGAGTAGTGCCCAGACAAAATATTTCATTCTGYTCTGCTGTAAAATTTGTGATCAAATGAATGTCAGACACTAGCAATAATTCTCTTTTATCTTCTCATACAGAAGGATGTTGATTACCTTCAGAACTTGATGTGTGAATCATTAGGAAGCAGCAGGGGAAAAAGTTATTTAAAAACCCCCATAGCTTCCAGTTAGGTACTTATTTCCTTGTCCTTTCTTTTTCTGAGGGAATCTCATTCATTCTTCTGTTCAAACTGGTTCATTGGAGCTTTCAACCCTGTAGAATAAGCTTAGTATGTGGGGATTCCTTTTGTTTGGTTTGTTTTAAAATCAGGTACTGTATGGTATTTTGCTACAGATTTTTGAAATTTAATTAGCAGTCTTGTCCCCCAAAGAAAATGTTCTTGTCCAACATGTTTATGTTCTTCTATTAATGGTTATTGTATCATTGTCACATTTTTTTTAAGAATCCTCTTGATGCTTCATATTTTGTTTAATCTTGTCTTCATTAAAGTATGTAACTGAGGGTTACTTAAAGCTGTTTCGTACTCATCTGAGAGCAATCAGTGTAACTCTTTTACAAGATGCCTGATCAAAGCATCTTCATTGAKCTCAGTCTCAGGTTCTATTTTCAAAACAAACTTTCTTGGCTGTTAGGTGCAAATATGCACCTTGGTGTCATATTAAGCTGCTTCTTCTGGTAGCCTTTCATTGAAATTTCTGATACTGTTATTCATGCACATGCACATACTCTCTGATATACATTAGTTAATTAATTTATTTATTTATACAGACATACACAGTCTTTTATGGCCATACTCCCTCTTATGGCCTTTTGTTTTTGGTGTTGTCTGTTCTTTTTTGTTTATCATTTTGTTAGAGAAATGCATTGCACCAATATCAATGTTGAGAGAAACTTCTAGAATTTTATGTAACCTCCAAGTCAGAAAAGGTTTTTAACATCTTGCACTTTGTAGAAATTGCACTTGTAGAAATTTGTGGATTTTTTCTTTTTTTCACCAATTTCTTTGTATCTACAAGGTTTGTTATTGTTAAGCTTGAGCTAAAAAGTAGTTACTTCAGTTCTGCTATTAACATTTTTAAGGTGCTTAAGGGCCAATGAACAGGAGGGTATTTGTTTAACAAGCTGATCTTCATTATCAGTTAAGAGGATGACTACAACTGTGTGAAGCAGTGAGGCCAGAATGCATCAACATCTATAAAATGAGACCTTTCACAGCAAAAGAGTTAACACAAACTTCAGTGAAACATTTTATATCCTCCTTCTGGTTTGTTGTCTACCATAACATTAACATTTTTTTGTTGTCTACCATAACATTAACATTTACTATTCTCAACTAGAAGTCTTACCTATCTATTAACCTTCAAGAATAAAACATTGAAAGGTCAGTTCTCTAATCTATTTAGTGATTGAAAAAAGTTCTCAGATTTGACTGATTTTTTAATTCTTGTGGCCCAGAGGATGAATGTAAACTTTACTTCAGCTATCAGCACAGATATTTTGCATTTTCCCTGTCTATGGTTGGTCTTTCCCAAGCAATATTAGGAATAGAGATTGGGAAACTGCTAAATTGCAAATGCAGAGATCATACTGGTATTTTTAATTTCCCAGTTTAATTTTGCAAATTGTTTGATCAATGCAGTCGGTTGACTTGACACCCCCCACCCTCCCAAAAAAAGAAAAATCTGCTTCATCATTTAATTTCACAAAGTCCCCTCTYAGAAATTTCAAAGGATACTTCTTTAGGTGCTTGACTGCCTTGCCTTGCCTTGTCTATTGGCTCTTATTTTGCATGCAAGATAGAGCCAGAAGCCTTTTTTCTCATTGTGTACTCATAGTGTTAATGGATCTGCTCTGCCTGTATTGCCTCATTACTGGAAACAGCTCAAAACACAGAAGTCTTTCAGTGTATGCAAATAAGGCAGAATCATCTACCTGAGAGTTAATATTCTCTACTTTTAAGTGTATTCTAAATGTAATGTTTGTATTTAGAGCATAACATCCTGTTCTCTTTTTTTTTATGGGCAAAAAGCTAAGCAGGCTCAGGCAGCTGTTTGATGTTGGCTTCAAGTGTTATTAATTTCATATTCTATTATTCTTTTCACTGTAGCACAAGTGAAGCTGATGTGGAGGCTGTCATGGATAAGTTGTTTGATGAGCTGGCTCAGAAACAAAATGATTGTACGTAAGTTAATTTCTCTTGAAAGAGAATACATTTAGAACACAATGCCCAATCTCCACTGACCAATTAATAAGTTCCATTGCTGTATATGGGTTGATGCCACACTCAAGTGGCAGTCATTGTATCAGCATTTTGTCTAATTTATGTGTTGAATCATGTGCTATTATTCATGAAGCTATGCATTTCCTATCTGTAAGAGATGAATTTTATAGTAATTATCCAGAGAAGATTGAGTCTTTGTTCATGTTCCCATAGTAACTAGACCAAGGATTCTAAAAGTGCAAGGCAGAGAGCTGAGGCTGAATAAAGCGTGTGGAACCATTGCAGACTTCACATTTGAAGAGCTGTGCGACAGAGTGAGTACCCAGTCCAATCTACATCAGTTAATGCTCAGACTTTTCACAGTTAAAAAAAAATTCTAACCACACAAGCTTGCTTTTTTCCCAAGCTGCACTAAATTAAAAAGGCTTTTATTTTAACTTGATTAACAGAAATATTTTGAATTCAACAGGAAAAAGAAAACCCTTCTCAAAAAGAACCATAATAATTTTCTTTTTAATGTTATAGTAAATTCAATCTTTGGTATATTACAGATGGTATTCAAAAATCCTACTACAATATATGCCTGGCCTAMCATCATTGCTGTGTATGTGATAGCATATCAATATGTAAATAGCAGTCAAATGCTGTTTTTATAATCTTGGGTTTTAGTTTGATACTCAAGCAAGAGAGTAGTGATCCTGGCACCACTAGAGTAATACTGTTGGTACATGCTGTGTATATGCAGCTACATGTACAAGGAATGTTTAACCCCAGGCCTTCTCAAAATATGCTRGGTTTTGCTAAATACTGCCAAATTCTCTGCTGAAACATGTGAGATGTGAGTCTTGRAAACTTCTCCTTGAATTTGACCTCCAGTGGGTTGGAAGACAGTTCCCCTGGAGTTGCACTGTATTTCAGAGATCACTGTACTGATGTCTGAAGTTGCTGTTAAATGATCACAACCCTAAACTGGGCCAACAGAACTTTGGATTCAGAGTGGTTACCAGTGGTGGCTTTCTTTCTCACTTCAGATGCCTTCTGCAGATATGTTGTGGTAGTCTCTTATAGSAAAATCACGCTTGAAACTAAAGCAGCATGGCAGACAGTAAATGTTGTTTTTTTAACAACTTCCTCAGTCATTGCCTATTTTTMTTTTCAGATCACTKATGTGTCTTCATAAATATTACATTAATATGTTGRTAAGGGGTATCAGTGTGCTCTCTTCATAGGTAGAAAAGTAGAGCCATGAACTTCAGAGTTGTCCATTAAATTTTGGTGAATGGCCAGCGTTGCCTCCACAGTGATTTTCTTTTCATGACTCTAAAATTTTGCAGTGATTCATAGCAATGTTAGACAATTTCCCTCAGTATAAGCTGTGTTTAGGGTCTTGCCTGCCCTCCTGCCATTAAAATCTGCTAAAAGGCAAAATTAAAAAAAATAAATCAGCTGTCAAACCATGAAACCATAYTCCTTTTTTTCATGCATTCTTTTAAATTTTGATGGAAAAACTTACACATGCWGTGTCTTTTTTAAACAGAGTGGGAAATTGCTCCCACTCACGTCACAGAAGACATAGGGAGGATCCAGAAGAGTACACTGGTGGTTTATAGCAAAAAAATAGCCCAAAATGAGGAGACATTCAACATGACAGGAAATATGAAGTAATTTTTATGTATTCCAGTAAGCAGGCTAATGGTGGGAATATTTGTTGAGGGATAAAGCAGAAATCTATWGTGGACATCAACAAGGTATTTGCTACTTCTTGTGAAGCCAAATGGTAGAYAAGTTGATGGCATCATTAAGTGCTACTATTAAAAAAAGGGAAGTAGAAAGCTTAAAAGATGTCATGAAAAGCAAGATTAACAAAAGAAGAATACTGGAGGGGGATTTTTTGGATTTGCAAGGAGTGAATCTGTGAATCTGCAGGTGTCTTTGTGCAGGATGTGGGGACAAAATCCCATGGGAAGGCAGATTGTACAAAGGGACATGAGGCAGGAAATCTTCTTGTTTGAGGCCTGTTGCAACCAGGGAGGAGCTTAATTGACAGTTCAAGCCAAGCCTCCAGACAGATAAATGAAATTTGAAGTTGGTGTTGTAGGAGCTCATTAAACTTAGAATTGAAAACAAGGTATGCAGTTGGTTTTGTATCAGTTTTAGGATGTGGTGACAAGCATGGTAAATGGGAAATGCTCATTAATGATGAAAAATGAGAGATAATTGCTATTATTGAAAACCCTGTGAGACAATTCATAAAATAATAATACAGAATCAATGCTTGCACATACTTAAGGACAGAGTGGCTAAAGGAGGTGGAAGACAGTGTGCAACATTAAAGGTACTGGTATCTGCCTTAAAGTTAATTAATACAAGGTTCTTGAGTACATATCAATCAGTCTGCTAAATAACAAACCCAGAAGGATAGTACTCATAGGGATCTGTTCTGTTGCAARTGAGGAATGAGGTGGACTGCTTCTTGAGCACTTGGCTATAAAAACCTTATAAAGAAAATATATCATTGTATGTTATCCTGTAGATGAAACACAGCAAAAGGTGAAATGTAATTAGCCTGAAAATTRCAAAAGATAATTTTCTAGCATAAAATGTACTACATCCAGTACAAGGTCATTTGGCTGGTTATGAATTTATCTACAAATTTGTGTTGTGTAGGAACAACCTTCATTTTCTAACATGTAAWGAAACCAAAAGATATTCCAAACAGTGAAGTTGCACATTTGAGTGTTCAGGAAGAGCAGTTTTCAAAAGCAAAAGGGAAGTGWGACTAACTGTAAAGGGACTTGTAAATAACAACAATAATAAAAGGAGCAACACAAAAGAACCCAAGAATGACTCTTTGAGGAGGAAGATAGTAAAAGTATTTACTGTGACACTGTTGAGACAGAATCAAATGATGTGGAGTTAATGGCAACTAGTTATGAAATGCAGGAAAATTATAAAATAAAGGCCCTGGGCAAGTATGTCCATACAGATGAAAGACTTACTTGCTAAGTAAAATGGAAGTCTTTATGTTATCTGAATGTTACTGGCTTATTYTTAGCTGGAGATGGGTGAACTTTTAATAATGATATGGAAAAAGGAAAAGGATATTTGCAAAAAATATGCCTTCTAGGTGAAGCAGAGTGACATAATTTTCAGTCTGTAAATAGTTAACATAAGCTAAAAATAGCCTGCAAATACATTCTGTATCACTGGAGTCCTGGACAATTAGGCTGAGATCTCTGACTAGCTTTTTATTTTTGATACATCTTGGAGTGCAAGGGTAATTCCACATCACTAGAAAAATGCTCTCTGTCAATATTAAAAAACAAACAAGTAAAATTCACACATGCTCTATGGTGAATGATGGGTGGAACTGCAGGCTGTTGGTCAGATTTTAGGTCCAAGAATGGTAATGGAGAAGCTGATTCTGGATGCACACAGTGGATGACTAGAGAATGGAAATGAAATTAATTCTCCAGTCTCCCTGATTTCATAGGAAGGGCTGAGTTTTGAAGATGCTGTTCTTATTAGGAAAGTGCCATTATGCAGTCTCAAGAAAGTATTTGTTAAATGGATTGCTAAGTTAGTTAACTAACCTATAAAAAGAACTATTGCTGAGTGTAGCATTTCTAATGAGCACATTTCTATACTAAGCCGAGTATAACAGGGTATTTTCCCCAAAAGTTTTGAATATAACATAAATGCTAATATAAACTTGCTATAAATACAGAATACTGTGTGTATGGGGGGAGGAGTAATGAAGACAAGAATGCTGTGAGCAATRTATTTCTTATCAGAACTTATGGGGAAGGGGTTGTGGGGTTTTATTGAGAGTTTGTTTTGGTTTGCCTCTTTKGCATCTAAGCAAACACAGAGGCTTCTTTTACTGCGTGTTGAGTCAAAACTGGATGCCATTTTAGGAAGAGGTGTTTTTGTTTGACCTGAGTACTAGTTTTYAGGCTTAGCTGTCTCTAAAATGCAGGAGCTTGAAGTACCTCATGATCTCTTCTGATTTTAAATTGTCTGAAATTAGGGATGTGAGGGAGTCAGGGTCCCTGCTGCCTGTTGGCAGCTCTCACTGCCCCTGCACATGCMGTGAACAAGTTCAGCAGCTGGCAGGGGAATGTGCCCTGTCCATCTTGAGGGGATAACCAGCTGTTATCTCCCTCATTCTTTTGGTAGTAGGCAATACTTAGTCTGTGATCAGTCTGTGCAGTGAGTTCAGATGGAGTTTTTCAAAGACTTGTAACTTCCTTGGATTTGAGGGGGTTTTCACAGAACGTGTATAAGACCTTTCTCTCATACTAGGCAACCTTTCCTCCAAATTTGACATGCCTGGTSCATATCATGGAAGTACTTATAATCTTGGAGTTGCAGTATTATTTTTTCAGTTTTCTGAAACGGTTGTGTACTGCTGCTCATGTGGGTGTTGGTAATCATTGCAGCATGAGGAGACAGCATTATACTCAAAACTTGGTTAATTGATTCCTTTGCTTATCCATTACCCTTAAGGGTTCCAGAAAAAAAGAGTAAGTTTTGCAAGAATCAACATGTGAAAAGGTAGATGCATTGGTTATACTGGAGGAATAGTTTATCACTGAAGTAATTGTTTTCTCTTYATTGTTGCAATGTATCTTCTAGTCTAGTCTTGGGTAACTGTTACAGYGCATTCCAAGGGATAAATATCCAGACCCAAAAAATCTACATTTGTTGGTGTAGRATTAAGGAGATGTGTTTGAAATTTCTCAGATAATTCCTTAATGATTTTTGTAGTACAATATTTCATGTGAACAGCATGTAAAATCTCTTCAAATTCACTGATGTTTCTTTCAAAATAAAATGAAAATTCTGTTTTAAGGGGARATATTGAGACATTTCGCACTTCGATATCACGCGATTTCATGAGATGGCAGCTAATACATAATAGATGAAAACAGTAAATCAGCAATTGGTAACCTGCTACTATTTGTAACATCTCCTAGCTTAAATAGAATTTTTGTAATAGCTGCTTTTTAAATAATATCTGGAGACTTTGGGAACTAGAGTTGATGCCTTTCTGGTATTACAGTATTTAATTTCTTGTTTCATATGTTAGCATCAAACTTTTTCATGTCCAGAGTATAAAGAGTTATTTCTATCTATTTATTATCTAAATAATGCATCAAATACTGGTGATTACTGATTGTCCATTAATGTTTATAAAAATAAAATGCAGAGAGTATACTCTGTGTAATGCTGGTATGACATGCAGTTGACTTGTTAAGCTGTTGCGTGCATCATTTTGTAAATCATAGTTTTCCAGGTGAGGATAATCCCA